TGTCTTCCCACCTGTTTGGCCATGTGCATCAGTTCCTTCATTATCCAAAAATAACTGAAAAACAATGTTAAAAGACTTTCTGCAGCCCCTTAAGAAAAGACCAAAGGGAAATTATATTCACAACACACTGAAAATCTTCTGGAATTATCTTTCCCATCTCTGTCTGCTTATCCTCCCACGCTTGGCACTCGCTTCCCTTAAACTCTCTGTTCTCCTGTGCCAAACTCTAAATCTCAAATTCTGTGGCTGCTTCTCCCCTTCCTCCCCTGCATGGCTCAGTTCTTATGTAGCTCTACAGAAATGTTTTATTTTTTAAAATTATCATCCTTTTTTTGTTTGCTTGCAGTGCTGAGGATCAAAGTCAGGGCCTTGAACATGCTAGGCAGCACCACTGCGTCACCCCCTAACCCAGGGATGTTTTATTTCACCCCATGTCACATAGAAGCACATGACGGAGCAGGTTCCCAGGCTGCTGCGAAAGAAACACATTTTCCAGGGACCCCGCCCAGCTCTCTCTCTGCCAGCCCAGACGGCCCTCTCCAAGATGACTCATTTTCCCACTGATGGTTTACTCCTATCACTTCCCCTTGTGCCTACTGTTTCCCTGGTCTAGGAGAGGCTCATGGATTGAGCCCAACACAGAAGGAAACATTTTGTTGGGATGACAGAGGGGACTGATGTCACAGAGAAAGGGAGAAAACCAGATGGGCAGGTTTGCAGGATGTTTTATCACAGGTGTTAATTTTTTTTTTTTTAATTGGGCAGTCCCCTCCTCTCTCCTAGACAGTAAACAGTTTTCTGTGGAAGAATCAGCCCTGCCAAGTTCAAAGGCTTTTTATACTGAGGACAAGCACATTGGTACCTTTCTTGTTATCATATTAGGAATAATGAGTATCCAGCTTCTATTTCTATTTTGTTTGGTTGCTTGGTTTCTTTGAGACAAAGTCTTGCTATGTAGTTTAGGCTGGCTTGGAACTTGCAGTGATCCTCTTGCCTCAGCCTCCCTAGTGCTGGGATTACAGTTGCGTACCACACGGCTGGCTCAAGTTTCCATATATTTTAAGTGGAAACTTCTTCCTGTATGAAGGGAAGTCCTATCCCAAGTACCTGAGGAATGATCACTATCATGTATCTGGAGATCTAGTTGTATTGGAGAGGGTACATACAGCCTGGGGCCATGGCACCTCTTTTTCTTTTTTCAGAGTTGGGGTTTGAACACAGGGCTACATCCCAGATGTTTCTTGTTTTATTTTTGGTACCGGGGATCTAATTTGGGTCCTTGCACTTGTGCAGCAGGCAATGAAACCACTGAGCTAAATCCCTGGCCCTCTTGTTTTATTTTGAGACAGGCTCTTGCTAAGTTGCTAAATTGTTCAGGCTAGCCTTAAAATTGGGATCCTCCTGCTGCAGCCTCCCAGAGTGCAAGGATTATGGGGATGCACCACCATGGCATGCTGTCACTGTATGTCTTCCTTATGTCCTCCACAAGCATCTCATCCTTGTCCATCCTGTGCAGATCAACTACTCCTCCTGCAGATCAATTCCTTCTACTTCCCTTCTGCTTTATTTTCTATCTTAGAATGATACCCCTCCCCAACCAGTTTCCCAAGCCAGGAACCTGAGAATCAACTTCAATGTCTCTTCCTTCCTCTGCTCACAAGTCTAGTCTGTCTCCTAGGCCTGTGATTTTCTCCTCCTCCCCAACAAGTACTCTACCACCGATCTTCGTCCCCAGGTCCTTCCCATCTTTTTTTATCAGGCCATAGGCATATCTTGCTGGGATGATCACCATGGTTTCCCTATACTGTAACCACTCCTATACCTTCCAAGCCACCCTGTTACTTTACTGTGTCACCTACTAGTCAGTGGGCCATTTGACTTACCCTATATTTACCTTTTGGTTAATCTGAGCACCATGGCATATCCCTCAAAAATCATTTACGGATAATGTAGATATTAAAAGTATTTATAGGGCCGGGGAATTGACACCACACCCACCTCGAAAGCACAGGTTCCTGAGTTCGATCCCCAGTACCACACACAAAAAAAAGTATCTATAAAGTCACGGAGGTAATGTACACATTTACACAATGATACTTCCTACATTGACTCCATAGGTACTTTTTTTTTTTTTTGGTACCGGGGATCAAACTCAGGTCCTCAGCTTTCGAGGCAGGCGCCAGAACCGTTGAACTGAATCCCCGGCCTGGGTACTTTTTCTTTTCCCCAGCACTGGGGACTGAATATAGGGCCTTCACGCTAAACTACATCTCCAGCACCGACACCCCCCCCCCCACCGCTTTTATGTTTTAACACTGGGTCGCTTAAAACTTTTGTTTTAAGGCTGGGTCTCACTAAATTATCCAGGCTGGGCTTAAATTTGAGATCCTCTTCACTCAGCCTCCCAGAGTAAAGGGATTACAGGAATGGGCCACCATGCCTGGGTTTTTGTTTTGTTTTTTGAGACAGAGTTCAGGCCGTTCAGGCTGTCCTTAACTCACTACGTAGCCCAGGCAGCCTTGAACTCACTGCTTCAGGCCTCCCAAGTGCTGGGATCACAGGTGTGCACTACTACGCCCAGACCTTTTATTCTGTTTTCTGAGATAGGGTTTTGCTACAAATTCAGGCTGGCCTTGAACTCACTATGTAGCATAGGTTGGCTTTAATCCTTGTGGCAATCCTGCTTCAACCTCCCAAGTACTGAGATTACAAGCCTGGGCAACTTGCCTGGCTATTTTATTTTATTTTTTAAATTTTCCACAAAAAAATAACATAGAAGTGATAAAGTGATAGGACTGAGGGAATATTAGTCTACCTAAGCACATCTCCCCACCTAAGGAGGCATCTGGACTTTGGAATGCCTGTAGAATATATAAACTGTAAGACTGCATACTTGAACTCAAGATGACATTTGGCTAGGGATTTTTCCTGCTTGGTTTTGGAAACCCAGCAGAGAATAGCTAGAAGCATTATATAATCCAGAATACAACATATAGTCTCATTGTTTCATTTTATAAATAATTTATTTATATAATAATTTATAAATAACATTTCATTTTATAAATAATTATTAAAATATTACATGCTGATTACAGATAATTTGATAAATCCATAAAGTATAACAGGTAAATCACTGCCATCAGATTTCTCCACAAATTAAAAAAACACTATAAATATCTGAAAAGTTAGTTTCTGCTATGCTTTGCTGTAAGCAGTAATACAGTATGTAAAATGTATGCATACATATATATAGTATTTAGAACTAGGATGATATATACATTGTTTATATCCTCTTCTTGCTTTATTTTCTTCAGTGTTTGAAAATAAAATATAGTTGCAGTAATAATTTTTTTTGTACCTGGGATCAAACTCAGGACCTTGTGATTGCCAGGAAGGCACTATGCCACTGAGCTAAATCCCTGGCCCATAATTTTTTTATTTTTTTAGGATCTTGCCTTGAATTCACTAGGTACCCCAGGCTGGCCTTGAAACGGGACCTCCTGCCTCCGGCTCCTGAGTGCTGGCATTACAGGCCTGCCCCACCACACCTGGGGGGTGGGGGTGGGGGTGAAGTTTCCTCAGATGCATTTTTTTTTGTACCGGAGATCGAACTCGGGACCTTCCACTTGCAAGCCAGGTGGCAGAACCACTGAGCTAAATCCCCGGCCCATTTGTTGCTGTTGTTGTTGTTTTTGGTACCGGGGATCCAACTCAGGTCCTTGCGCTTTCAAGGCAGGCAACAGAACCACCGAGCTAAATCCCCGGCTGTTGTTGTTTTGAGACAGGGTCTTGCTTGGTAGTTCAGGCTGTCCTTGAACTCACTCACTAGGTAGCCTAGCTGGCCTCAAACTCGCAGCGCTCTGGCTGCCTCGGCCTCTGAAGTACTGATAACACACATGTGCACCACCTTGCCCTGCATTATAAGATTAACTTTTAATTGCACAGAATACAATGATAAAAAGATAATTTACTTTTAGAATTTCATTAGTGATAAAATCCTACAAGCAGAATTATGAGGCCAAAGAGTATTTGTGCATTATCAAAGCTCGATATAGACTATCAATTTACCTTCCAAAAAAGATTATATATTCAGTAGTTATTTCTGGGTAACTAATTTTTTGTTGATTCTAACAGGTTCAGGGATGGTATAACGAGAAATCAACTACCTTCTTTTTTGAGACAGGGTCTCACTTTGTCTTGCAGGCTGGCCTTGAACTCACTCTGCAGCCCGGGCTGGCGATCCTCCTGTCTCAGCCTCCCGAGTGTTAGGATTACAGACCTGCACTACCATGCCTGGCGAGGTTTCTTTTATATGAATAACCTCTAGATGAAGACTTCCTGGTACGATAGGACGCGTTATTGGACGTGTCTGTGGAAATGCGCTAAGGTGTGTGGGTAGCTGAGGTCCCGCAGTCAGCGTAGAGGAGGGGCATGGCTCTGGGTTCTAATCCTAACCCCTCTCTGAGACCTCAGATTTTTCCCTTGAAACAAGGAAAGGAGGTATCCTAAAGGAGGGTGAAAAGCACAAATCGCTAGAGGCGCTCTATAGCTATAGCTGTAATAGTTCTTAGGGAGTTTTCACACCCTCGTCTTGGAGACCATCGGAGGGTCGCCCCGTCAGGTCTAAGAAGTTGTAAGGTGTGGGACAGAGTGGCACGGAGGGCTACTGACCTGAGGCTACGGCTAGGACTCTTTCCGCGCTCTGCTGGGTCGACTCGCAGGCTCTGCGCCCCGCGCGCAGGGATAGACGCGCGCGCCCGCCCGCCCAGGGCGCTTTCCGCATCACCTCAGATTGCTCGCCAAGGCCTGCACGGTAGGCGGCGCTACAGAGGGGGAAACAGAGGCTGAGGGAGCCCAAGTTTCTCGTCCAATCCGCGCCGCTGGCGAGCGAACAGCGTTTGGATGCTAAATTCTAGATGCCCTTTTCCTCACGCCTCCCGCAGCCCTCCAGCACCTACATACAGCGCCGGCCCCTGCGCACGCGCAATTATCACGGCTGCGTCCCCTTTAAGAGGATTCTTGTAGCCTCCGCCGATCCTTTCGCTTCCGTTCCACGTTCCCACAATGCAGTGCGGCTGAGCGCCTCCGAGCTCGCGGGGACGCTCTGGGAGGACCTGAGCTGAGGCGGCAGCGGCGCGACTTGAGCTGCGGCGGGCCCGCGGCGTCGGGCGGTGCGGATGTCGGGTTGGGCGGACGAGCGCGGAGGCGAGGGCGACGGGCGCATCTACGTGGGGAACCTTCCGACAGACGTGCGCGAGAAGGACCTGGAGGACCTGTTCTACAAGTACGGTCGCATCCGCGAGATCGAGCTCAAGAACCGACACGGCCTTGTGCCCTTCGCCTTCGTGCGCTTCGAGGACCCCCGGTGAGGCCCCCGACGGCTCCGCCCGCCTGCAGGCCGGTTCCCGGGCCTTCCCTCCGGTCCCCTCTTCCCGCCCGTCTGGCCTCCCCTCCCCCTCAGCGCAGACCCCCCTCGCGGCGCCCCCGGGTGGACGAGGCGGCCTCTTCTCGCGGGTTTCGGGCGGTCCCCTGCTCCGTCGTCATTTCCTTTATTATTATTTTACTTTAAAACACAAAACCTGAGCCTTTGGAGGGCCAGAGCCCGCTCAATCGCGCCTCGGGGTGGGGAAAATTAGCGCGCTCGTACTCGCGGCTGGGGAGTCGCCCTGAGAAGGGGAAGCGGCCCCGGCCTCGGATACCTCGGGCCCCAAACCAGCCTTGGGGAAAACTAACGGGAAAAGTGGCCCGAACTCCGGTTAGGGGGAGCGGCCAGCGAGGTTGTGGTGCCTTTGGGAGTGGGGTGTAAAGGAGTCTCTGGTGGAACCCGCCTCCACCTGCGCGCACCGCTCCGCGCAGAACCGGAGTCCGGCGCTTGGGAAAGAAGGACCTGAGGAGACTCCTCAGGCAGCCTGAGGGAGGTTTCATTCTCCTCTTAGGGAGGCCTGCCAGATGTTAGAGGCCCCAGAGTTGTGGAGTCTGGTACCTTTACTGGCGCTTTGGTGATTCTGCAAACATTGTTGGCCCTTATGCCGTAAAAGGACCAGCAACTTTTATTTTTGGAGACAGAGACTCTGTAGTTCCCGCCACCATATCCCGTTCTGGACCAGGAACTTTCAAAACTGCAGTTGATCGCTGCACTCGGTGTTAGTGTACCGTTTTTGAGGCATGGTTTAGAGGAAGGCTTCACTTCTGCCCCACTGCCAGCGTTATCTGTAGCGTGTCCTGCTTGCCTGGGGTGGAGGTATTGATAGGGCCAAAAGAGCGGCTGAGGTCAAAGTGGCAGGCAGCGTTCTGAGGTGTTTTGTTTTTTGGTTTTTTTGGTTTGTTTTTGTTTTTTGGAGGCAGGGTCTCACTATGCAGTTGAGGCTGGGCTTGAACTCACTGTATAGCCCAGGCTGGTCTCGAACTCACAGCGATCCACCTGCTTCAGCCTCTTGAGTGCTGGGTTTACAGACTTGCTGCCATCATGGCCGGGCTTTTTTTTTTTTTTTTTTCCTTTTTGAGACAGGGTTTCACTATATAGTTCAGGTTACTTTGAACTCGCCATGTAATCCAGGCCGGCCTCCAACTAGCTGTGATTCTCCTCACCCTCCCCAGTGCTGGGATTACAGGCATGTGCCACAAGGCCAGTCCCTACACTGAGGTGTTTTTTTTTCTTTCTGAGGTTTGTTTTTTTTTGGTACCGGGGATTGAACTCGGGTCCTTGCGCTTGCACAGCAGGCTCCCAGAGGTTTTTTTGATGGCTACACTGAGGACTCATTCTGTGTGTCTCAACATTTGCCTCAGAAGTGGAACTAGGTATTTTTACATTTAAATGGGAGAAAACTGTGCTCTAACTAGTAACATCCATTGTGTGTGTGTTTTAAGAGTAGGAAAATTTATTGGGAAATAGGAATCTCTCCTGAGAGACAGGAGGGGTCCCAAATGGGTTGCCCCATCCTCCTGTGTGGAAGGACCATGTTGTGTATTTACCATTTTCAACAAACTACAAGGTAGGTACTGTTAACCACACTTTGTTACAGATGAGGAATTTAAGGATATGGAGGGTTGTTGATAAGATTGGCTAGTAAGATTCAAGATAGAATACATACTTGCTGTAGGATGAATTACATTGTTATTTTCCCCCTTAGTTCTTTCTTATCAGAAAAGCTGTATTTTGATACCATGATGTGACAAGTTTCAAACCAAGTACTGTACACGTTAGTATCTTATTTAATCCTAACAAGCCGGTGAGATGGGCTTGTAGCTTATGTTAGAGATGTAAAAATTTGAATAAGCACTTAGCCTTAGGTAAAAACTAAGTGGTTGAAGAATGGTTTGAATTCGAGTCAATTTGTATTCACAATTTGCTCTGAAACCTTAGCAAGTTGCTCTGGATGTGGTCTTGCTACATTTAGGCCTAGAATGTTGGTAAGCAATTGTGTGCCCATAACAGAATGAATCCCTTGCTTTGCTTCTTGGTCTGGGGATGTAACTCAGTGATACAGCACTTCCCTATCAGGTAAGAGGCCTAGAGTTTGATCCCTAGCACCCACTAAAAAAAATTTTAAAAAAAAATTTCCTCTTGGTGAAATCATACCCAGTGGTTTGTACAGTGTACTCCAAACCTTGGTGAGAAGTTACACTTAAAGGAGTTGGGTTTCTTTTCTTTTCTTTCTTTCTTTATTTTGGTACCAGGGATCAAACTCGGGACCTTGTGCTTTCGAGGCAGGCGCCAGAACCACTGAGCTAAATCCCCAGCCCAAGGAGTATGAGTTTTCATCACTAAACACATCTTTGCATTTCTCCTGAGCTGCCTTTTTTCCCTGAGATTTTTTTTCTTTCTTTCTTTCGGTTCCAGGGATCAAACTGAGGACCTTGTGCTTGTGAGGTAGGCTTGGTGCCACTAAGCTAAATTCCTGGCCCTGAGATTTTTTTTTCTGATAACAGGAACTGAACTCAGGACCTTTCGGTAGGCAAGCAGATGCTGCACCACTGAGCTACATCCCCGACCCTCCTGAGATTTTTTTAAAAGGAGTTTTCTTTCTGTAAGCTTTATGACACTGGGCTTTATGGAAGAATTTTAAGGGCTAGTAATAATCTGTCAACAGTTTACTTTTGGGGGGGAGGGGTACCAGGGATCAAACTCGGGTCCCTGCACTTGCGCAGCGGGCGGTGAAACCAGTGAGCTAAATCCCCGGCCCTGTCAACAGTTTACTTTTTCTCTGAATTAGTCCTCTTATAAGTAATCTGTTTACCCATCTATTATTTATTTATTTTTTTTTTGGTCTTGTCAGTCCATTATCACTTGATAGCTAGAAAACCATGTGTACGACCGTTGTAAAGTTTAATTCACCGTGAAGTTTTCAACCAAAGCACAAGTATAAGATTTTGGCTTTGGTTTGTTTTGCTGTTACTCTTCCCTTTCCTTGTGTCCCTCACTGGGAACATTGATCCTCTTGGGTAGCACTAACTCTAAACTTCTTTGCAGAGATGCTGAGGATGCAATTTATGGAAGAAATGGTTATGATTATGGCCAGTGTCGGCTTCGTGTGGAGTTCCCCAGGACTTACGGAGGTCGGGGTGGGTGGCCCCGTGGTGGGAGGACTGGGCCTCCTACAAGAAGATCTGATTTCCGAGTTCTTGTTTCAGGTATGGTTCCTTTCAAACTGAATGAGATGCTGCACGTAAACTACTTAGTCTGGCCTCTAAGGAACGTTAGCTGTTTATTCAGCATGTGACATATATGGGCTTTCTTTTCAATAACCTGTGCACAGTGACAGCTGGAAACCCTGCTCTGGCTTACCAGTGTCCTGCAAATTGAGCTTGTATTACTAGTCCAGCCTTGGTAGAACATTTTTGTTTTTTGGTGGGTTTTGTTTTTTTGTTTTTGTTTTTAAACACAAGATCTCTAGCCGTGTAGTTCAGGCTGGCCTTGAACTTCTGCCTCAGCCTCCCAAGTGCTGGATTACAGGTATGCGCCACCAACGCCTGGTCTGGAACATAAATGTGTTTCTTGTTAAGGGGTTTTTCTCTTGGTGAGAAGGAAAGGTGATGGCAAAATCCTTTCATCTGGGATTCTAAAGACATTTTCTTTTGGAACATACCTTGGTATCACCCTTGCTAGAAAGATACTTATTACAAGAGCCAGATTTGAACAACTCACCAAACTTTGGATCCTGAAAAAGGCTAGATTTTGTGGTGGTTTGGGGATTGAATCAAAAAGAAAAACCAACCAAAGAAAACCCCACAACTTGGAATCTTGTAGATTATTTAGGCAAGTATAGAATATTTCTGTCTAGTGTTAACAAGTGATAAAATGCTAAGCTCAGAAGTTTATGTGTTTTTGAAATTTTATTACAGTGGGAAATACTAATACTGGGAACTTCTGCACAATGCAGGCAAATTTTACGGCCCTACTGGAGTGAGATGTATTGAGCAGCATGGCATCTTTTTAGGATGTGAATGAATTTCCCACAACACAGCAGATTTCCAAGTGCTTAAGAGTGATAGTCTCTGCCTACCTTGTATCCTTCTATAATTTCTTAACCCCAGAACTCTGTTCCCTCCTTCAGGATGTCATACATACTTTCTTTTTCCTCTTCATGCTGCTCTGAAATCCTGCTTAGAAAACTATTAGGAAATGGCTGAAGTCCTGAGCTTGAGCGGTAAACACAGCCTGTGAGAGCAGGAGCACATTTCCCTTTCATGACATCAGGTAGGGTTGTATGACTCCCAACTAGTTTTAGTGTCTGAATATTACCTTTTCCCCCACTATAGTGAAGAATATTGGTGATCTCTTAAGAGGAAGTTTGTCAGTCGTTCACTCCTATAAGAAAACATTTTTTATATTTTTGTTGTTGTGTTGTTACCTTTGGCTATGCTTTACTTAGTTGGCTGCTTTCAATTCCATGTCCTGGGAAACCTGGTCAGGTAAGAAGTAATTAGTGCTAATAAACTTCATATTGGAAAAGATTGGAATTTGGTTTTGGGAGTTTGGCACTGACTGAAGGACAAAGGAAAAGGTGAATTCTCAGAGATGTCAAACCTATAAATAAGATGCTCTGCTGGGAAGGTTTTGGTCTCTAGAAGATTAGCCCAGAACCAGCTTCTTGAGGTGGTATGCCATACATGCTTCAGTGCTTCTCTCTGGTTTTGTGTTCCACAGAGAAGAGACATAGAATTGGTGGCTCTTTTTTTTTTTTTTTTTGTACTGGGGATCAAACTCAGAACCTTGCGCTTTTGAGACAGGTGGTGGAACCACTGAGCTAAATACTCGGCCCAGGTGGCTCTTAACAGGGCAGTTAACATGGCTGAAGGATGTGGGTTGTTGTGTTCTCTGTGCCTAGGACTTCCTCCATCAGGCAGCTGGCAGGACCTGAAAGATCACATGCGAGAAGCTGGAGATGTCTGTTATGCAGATGTGCAAAAGGATGGAATGGGGATGGTTGAGTATCTCAGAAAAGAAGATATGGAATATGCCCTGCGTAAACTGGATGACACCAAATTTCGCTCTCATGAGGTGGGTCCCTACCTTTTACTGAGCTGCTCTCAGGTCACACTCCCAGAACCTAACCCAGCAATACTGTAGTAGCAACAGTAGCTACTGACAGAAGTAGCAGGTCATGCACTTGCCATTTGATTACCTCATGGTACTATTAAAGTGAACACTTTAAGTGAACAGAGCCAGGGAATTTGTCATATGTGCCACCACACCTAGCTGGGGTTTCTTGGTGTCTTTTTTTTTTTTTTGGTACTGGGGATCGAACTCCGGTCCTTCTGCTTGTGAGGCAGGCGCCAGAACCACTGAACTACATCCCCGGCCCTCTTGGTGTCTTTATTTTCCCAGTACTTGGGACCTTTCGCTTTTGAGGCAGGCATGGTGCCACTGTGCTAAATCCCCAGCCCCTTGATGTCCTTTTCTTTAGGAAAGTAGCTGGTACTTTGGATCCTTTCAAACACTAATTGGACATTGTTTTGGTTTTTTTCTTATCTGTCTTGAGTTGCTGTGGTGTTTATGGATAGCTGGGGAACACATCTCTAGACTTTTTTATTTTTCTGAGGGTTCATATAGTCCCTAGTTTTATGGCTTAGAGCAGTGGTGGGAAACCTGTGGCATTCGTGCCACATTGGGCTGTTTGTATCATTAAAAGCTCTAAAAGCTTTGCCATCATTGGCTTAGAGAATAGTCCTTGCAAGGCTTACGCAGTGCTTTTGCTCAGGCTGTCTTCTAGGACTTGAATTTGAAACAGAAGAGCAGCTGGTCCTCAGTATACTTCGAGGGAGGGTTTCACTATGGGTGAATCCAAAACCATTTAGCTTCTTTAACTTAGCATCTTTGGATCTTCTGAGAATGTTGCTGAGGGCAGAGGGCCTGGAATCAGGCAAGCCTGGACATAACATTAATTTCTTTCTTTTTTTTTTTTTTTGGTACCAGGGATTGAACTCAGGACCTCGCACTTGCGAGGCAGGCGGCTTGCGCTTGCGGAGGCACCATTAAGCTAAATCCCTGGACCCATAACATTAATTTCTTTTTCTTTTTTGGTACTGGGGTTCGAACTCGGGTCCTTGGGCTTTCGAGGCAGGCGGCTATAACATTAATTTCTTAGCTGAGCTGGTACTCTGAACCCTAAATGGTCTATATCCAAAATGGCTATATAATAGTGCGGTCACAAGACATGCCAGGAAGCTAACCTATGAGAATAACTAAAGTCTTGTCCTGACATCTAGGAGATGTTGAATACAGGTTAGCTTCTTCCATAAGATGATCTTGGGCAAATGAAAAAACTTAAGGCTTAGTTTTCCTCCTTTTTGAAATGGGATAATGATTATCTACTTCCATAAACTAGTGAGGGTTTAATGAAATATAGGTAACAGTGGCAGACACATAGTAAGTGCTCAACACAATCATCTTTACTATTAAACAGCTAGGATAGATGTTGATTTGGTTTTTCTTCTCTTTATTTATTCATTTACTCTTTGTTTGAATTTCAGGGTGAAACTTCCTACATCCGAGTTTATCCTGAGAGAAGCACCAGCTATGGCTATTCACGGTCTCGGTCTGGGTCAAGGGGCCGTGACTCTCCATACCAAAGCAGGGGTTCCCCACACTACTTCTCTCCTTTCAGACCCTACTGAGACAGGTGATGGGAGTTTTTTCTTTATTTTTTAGATGACCTGAGCTGCTTTGTGCTCAGAATCTACATTCCAGATTGATGATTTAGTGTCTTAGGAAATTTTTTAAAATTTTTTTTAAGGGAAAAAACTACATAATTTCTACCAGCGCCATATTAGCAGTGAAATGTTTTAAACTGCAGGCATTGTGGTTTTGGTTCAGAAACAAGTTGTATATTTTTCACCCCTGATTATGGGGAAAAAAAAATCAGTGCTGGGTCTTTGTGGGTTGCTCTGCTATGGAGAGAACAGCAGCTACTGTGACTGAGTTGGCCCATTCTGTTTAGAAATATATTTTAAACGTTTAGTAATTGACATGTGTGGTTGTCCTTGATTAAGTATATAGATTTCACCTAACAGATACACTGGTTTAAAAAAAAAATCATTTTGTTTTCAAAGTAACTTGAACCCAGTTTGTAAGAAACAGAAATACATAGTTTTACTTGGAGATGATAGTTGTTATAGTGGTGGCCCAAGAATTTCAACTCCAATGGCAAGTCTAGGGTTTTCCTTATAATTCAAGCCTGACTTTGTAAATTAAATGCCTTTTAAAAAAAAAAAGGGAAGGTGGCTGAAAATAGGCTCAGGGGTATTTTTATGGTAAGTTCTCATTTCCGAAAGAAAAACTATAGGTGTGGTTCCATTTGCATATAATCACTTTGTGGGGTGGAGGGTGGCTCTGTAGTATTTAAACACTGTTGAGACCTTAGCAGAAAGTTAGCTATCTGCTGTGAATAAAGTAGGGACCCAGGAACAAATATAAGTACAGTATGTTTGGTAAAAATAACGCCACTCAAGTTAGTGCAGTCAGCAATTAACAATGACAGCTTAGGCTGTAACTGTGATCTGATGCTTTTATCTGTCGAATATATAAACAGAAAAGTTCACTTACATCCATTTGGTAGACAGTCTTTTAAGGGAAGGTTCAGGATACAGTAAGATAATGTTTTGGCTAGAGTTTGCCAATTCTGACTTTGGAAGAGTTAAGTTACTAAGACTTGCTTGAGCATCCGTATTTTTCAGGTGACTGAAGAAAGGACCATTAGAATTTATAGTAAAATAGCACCATTGCGCTTCCATGTGCTTACAGGGTACCCTCTTCCCAGAAGAGCTACTCAGCTGTGTAGGAAGGGCTCTTTTTCATCCAGCTTTGGTAAAGAGATATTACCTGTTTGAAAATAATAAGAAAGACTGTTATAGGGCCAGGGGTTTACCTCAGTGGTTCCACTGCCTGCCTTGAAAGCACAAGGTCCTGAGTTCAATCCACAGTACCAAAAAGAAAAAAAGAAAGAATGTTATAGCCGAGTTCTGCTGAGTTGGTCAAAATAAGTATAGTTAGCTAAGTACAGCTAAATTAATGCACTTTTCAGTAAGGAGTAGAAACAGGTTAAATTGCCATCTATATGCAGGTAGAATTGGAAGAAAAGACTAATAAGGTTCTATTTGGGAGATAGTATATATGATCAACAGGTATATCTGCTAAAGCAGTAACTGTTGTGCTCTGAGATGGTGGGATTACAAAATCTTCTCTCCAGTTAACACGGGAACCAGAGGCATGTAGTATTTAGCTTTGGTTTGCTTGCCTCCCTTCACATCCTTGAACTAGAGCAGTGGTGGTAAACCTTCGGCACAAATGCCACAGTGGGCTGTTTGTATCATTGAAAGCTCTAAAAGGTTCACCATCACTGATCTAGAGCTTCTAAGCTGGGTGTGGTGGTGCATGCCTGTAATCACAGCACCCAGGAGGCTGAGGCAGGAGGATCTTCATAAGTTTGATGCCAGCCTGTACTACATAATGAATTCAAGGCCAACCTGATCTACAGCGAGTCCCTATTCCAGAAGATTATTAAAAAACCTAAATGCCCAGGGAGTGCAATAGCTCTACCCATCTGCACAGGAGATAAAAACCATCTACTTATGCAAGCGCAAGGACCCAAGTTCAATCCCCGGTACCAAAAAAAAAAACCCATCTACTTAAATAAGGTTCTGGATTTTACTAGTGGGCCAGAGCTAGGGCTTTTTTGGGGGTGGGATGGTAAATAGGAATTGAACCCAGGGCCTATGCACTGAACTACACCCAAAGCCCTTTTTAAAGTTTTTAAGATTTTGAGATAGTCTAACTAAATTGCCCAGAATGGGCTTGAATTTAAGATCTTCCTGCCTCAGTCTCCCAGAGTGCTGGGATTACAGATATGTGCCACCATGTTCCAGCTTCAAGAATTCTTTCCAAGCTTCCTTTTAAAAATTTTACAGTGAGGTTAAAGATACAGGTCTCCATTCCAGACACTACAAACCAAAGTCTCACAGCCTTTTTTGGGCTGATTGTCAGTTTGTGCTCTCCCCACCCCACTGTGGGAATTGACCCCAGAGCCTTTGCACTGAGCTACATCCCCAGCACTCTTTCCTTAAAAATTTAGACAGGGTCCTACTAAGCTGCCCAGGGTAAAACTTGGCAGTTTTCCTGCCTCAGCTGCCCAGATTGCTGGAAGCCAGGTATGTCTTGTTTGGCCACAGGTTTTGTTTTTAATTTGAATTGGTTTTCAACACTTAAAACTTGGGAAGTAACATACAAAATGTCAGATATGTGGGTTCTCTGGGAAATTGGTCTCATATTCCTTCCTGGCACCAAAAGAGAAGCAGTGAATGCCAACTGTCCCTTTAGGCAAAGCTCCAGTGCTCTGGCTACAGATTTGCCACCTGCTGTATACTTCTCCAGTCCCACTTTTTTTCATTCTATAACTGAGTGGCCCCTGGGGGTAACTGTGATACCTAGACTCTAATGCTGTCTTTTTTTCTTTTGTTTTTTGAGGGTCTCGCTATGTAGTTCAGGCTGGCCTTATGTCGTCCAGGCTAGTCTCCAGCTCACGGGGATCCTCCTGCTTCAGCCTCCCGAGTGTTGGGATTACAGGTGTGCGCCACCAAGCCCGGCTGTAATCTCATCTTAATGCCACCATCTGTATGCACTTTCTTTTTTTCCAAGTGCCTTCACAGCATCTTTATCCACATAGCATCTGTGACCTCATAGTTCCTACTTCATTCCTTAGGTCACCTTGTGACTATCTGGACTATTCTGTTAAAACCACTCTGGGCAACACATACCTGGGGGGGCCACAAAATACTCCTCCACGACGCAATGGGAGTTTTGTAGTAGTTCTTCAGCACAGTTGCCTTCTGCAACATTGTCAGATCTCAAGTATAGACATCTGCAAAACCCAGAAATTAAAGGTTTACCTTCTCAGAGAATGGTGCTTCTAGGGCATGGTAGAGAAGGTCCCAGTGGTTGAAAGGAACAGCACAGTCCTGAGTTAGGTCACAACTCCAACACACAAGAGCTATGGTCAAGAGTAGACCAAATAACCATCTATAGTTTTTTTTTCATTAAGTTTATTGGTACATTTTAGGTATACAATAAAATTACATTCATCATTAGGATCTCGTACCTTTACATGATGTATCTTAGTTCTTATTTTTTCCCCATTTCCCTGCCCTCCCTTCATCCCCTCCACCCATCATCTGCAGTTTATAAAAGTCTCCTGATAACTGAGGTAAGTGGTAATTACATCTCAGGATATATTTAACAGATATTTTTGGATGATTACTAGGAGCAGGTTACATCTGGGTGGAGACAAATGAAAAAGAAATTAGCATACAATTGTTAAATTTTAACAGAAGTAGGTACAGCCTGCCAGGGCACTTAGAAAGGATATCTAGCCTAGCCTGGGTGAGAAGCATGAACTCAGAATAGGTGATGTCATTGTGAAAGTGCAAGAAATAGCTGGTGGTGGATGGGAAACAACTTCTAGGAAGCACCAGCAGTGTGGATCCCAAAGCAAGAGCTCATCAGGTTCAGAGAAGGGCAGGGTGTGCAGAAGGCTGCAGCACAGCATGCTTGGGTGAAAGAGGAAGCTTGACATCTAAGCATTGCGGGAGAAAGCTTGCTCAAGAGTGACCTGCTTAAGGATGTTGACTCCTAACCTGAGCCCTTTCTGATGCCCCAAAGATGAATGCTGCTTTCACCACAGCCACTTGGGTGAATATTACAAGTGCTTATTGTTGAGCAAGATACACCACAAATAGTTAAAGGATCTCCAATTGTTACTTGGGTCTAGTAGCTTTCGTAAAGTATCAAGATGGCTAACAGGAACTTGCACAAGAACATGAAGCCTCACCCTTGTTTGAAGCCAAAAAAATGCCTGAACAGAGGTCTGAGCGTGTTTGAGTTGAGCTAAAAAAAAAGGGGGGGGGGTTGGAAATCAGCAGAGGAATCAAGCTTTCTACTGTGAGCGTGGCAGACTACAGCTAACCCTAATGGGATTGAGTCATGTCACAGAGGGGCAGGAATGTGACATAAACACCTGTGCAAAGGCTACCTGTATAGGAGGGCTGAGTTGTCAGCATAAGATTCTTTCAGGAAAAGAAAAGGAATCCTGGTACCCAGCCCAGAGCTAAGCACAATAAATTCATGATAGAAGAGCAGAGAGCTTGAGTCTATTCAAGGATCCCCCACTGTCTTAAATGCCTTGAGAAAAGAGAAAGAATGATCTTTCCAGACCTTAAATTTGTCAAAAAAAAGAGTTGTCCTTTGGGTGTTTATAACCAAGGATTATGTATTCACTTAAGACAACTTAAAGGGCAAAAAATAAAAATCTGTAATTGTACCATTCAAAGATGACCCATGGACTTCTAGACTTTGTTTCTGCTAGACAGTGTAACAAAATGGCTATAAGCTTAGGCTTCCAAGTCACAGCTAAATTCACATTCCTAGTGCTACAATTACATATTCTTATTTGTTTGTTTCCTTATTTGTAGAATGCTTTATGAGATTGCTGAAATCAAATGTAATATTAAAAAGTAAGATCTGATACTACATTCCCATGGCATTAAGAAGTGTGTACTCAGTAGCACGTGCTCTTTTCTGAGTATACTTCAGGCCATCACTCATTCACAGTATGTTTGTGCATTTTATTTTTTTGTTTGGTTTTTTTTTTTTGGTACGGGGGATCGAACTCTGGTCCTTGCGCTTGTGCAGCAGCCAGCGAAACCACTGAGCTAAATCCCCAGCTTCTGTTTGGTTTTTGAGATGGTCTCACTATGTAGTAGTTCAGACTGGCCTTCAACTCACTATGCAGAGCCCAAGCTGGCCTCTACACTTAATAACCAAATTCAGTAGTGTAGCTGGATAAAAAGTTAGCACTCAAAAATTAGTAGCATTCCTGTACACAACAAACTCATAGCACTTGAGGCAATCCTCCTGCCTCAGCCTCCTGAGTGCTAGGATTACAGGTATGGGCCACTCTAACTGTAGATTGTAAAAGCAATTAATTTTTTTTTCAGTCATTTGGTAATCAGGTCCTATGATATTTCTAGAAGAGATTAACCCTTTCAACACTATACATTTCTACTTAATTCCTCTTTATAGTGGGTTTATTCCTAGAATAGGCCCATACCTCCCTATTTATTTTTTTGGAGACAACTTCTCATTGTGCTGCCCAGTTGGCCTTGAACCTGTGATCCTTCTGCCTCAGCCTCCCAAGTAAGTGGGATTTCAGGTGTGTGCCACCATCCCTAGCCTTATTCATCACAGGCTATTAAACCTACAAAAAAGACCTAAGGTTAGCAAGTTGCTTAAGTTTCCTGGACCTTAGACTCATATAAAATATCGGAGGGCAGGACAAGCTCTTCAGGTCAGTTTTTCTTGTGGGGGTGTGTGTGTGAGACTCTGGAGATTAAAGCCAGGAGGGTCTTGCCATGTTGTCCAGGCTGGGCTCAAATTGGGAATTCTTAGTTTTCCAGAGTGCTGGCCTTACAGGCCTGCACCACATGCCTGGCAGAAAATACTGCTTTTTAAAAGGCATGGAAATGCTGTAGCAGCATAGAGAAGTTTGGCAGCCCTTGGACTGATTGGCAGTAGTACCTCTGGATGCCACTCTACTTCCATCTGCAAGCCTTTTTTTCTCCAAATCTAGCTGTACATAGACTGGAATGGGAGCCAATTGATTTAAGAGTGATTTCAGTTGCTAGGTGTGGTGGTACACCTGTCATCCCAGCATTCTAGAAGGCCCTGGGTTCAATCCCCAGTAGTGCCAAAAGGTGGTGGAGCAGAGGCTTTGAGGGACACCCTAAGCACTGAATGAAGTATTTGGCTTCAGTCAGATGCACTTAAGGAGTTGACTTCAGCTGGCATATCTAGAGTGGCATTTGTGAGCAGAGGCTCTGAGTTCCAAGTCTTGAGGGGGCTACTAGGGATTGAACCCAGGGCCTTTGCACTGAACTACATGCCCAGTCCCCTCACCCCTCCACCTTTTTTTTGGTACCGGGGATCAAACTCAGGACCTTGCACTTGCCAGGCAGGTGGTGACACCACTGAGCTAAATCCCTTGCCCTCCTCACCCCCTTTGAGACAGAATCTCACTAAGATGCCCAGGCTGGGGTCGAACCTGTGATCCTCTTGCCTGAGCCTCCCAGACTGCTGGGGTGCAGGTGAGCACTACCACTCCCAACAAGTTCCATTGTTTTTCCCTCCCTTCACTTCACCTCCCCTCTTCTTTCTGTCTTGTGTGTAATACTGGGGATTGAATCCAGGGCCTTCCTACTGAGTTATATCCCAGCCAGCCCTTTTTATAACTTTTTTTTGGTGACGGTGATGGTGGTACTGGGGATTGAACTCGGACACTGCCACTGAGCTGCATTCCCAGTCCTTTTTGTTTGTTTCTCCTCGTTAAACTCAGAATGGCCAGGTGTGGTGGTGCATGCCTCTAATTCCAGCACTTTGAGGGCTGAGGCAGGAAAATCTCTGTAAATTTGAAGCCAGCCTTGGGTATATAGTGATTTTAAGGCCAGCTTAAACTATATAGTGAGGCCTTGTCTCAAACAAAAAACCAAATAAATAAATATATACTGTATGTATGTGTATGTAGCCCAGGTTGGGCTTAGACTTGATTCTCCTATGGCTTCCTGAAGTGCTGAGATTGTAGGCATGTGCCATAATTCCTGGCTAAACTATAACTTATTTGCCTTCCAAAGTTGTATGTTGTAACTGAGATAATGCACAAAAATTCTTAGTTCCTGACACATAAGGACACCAATGCTTTTAGCTCACATGATTTAAATGTTACTAATGTAATCATCTAGTGGTTACAGATAGGAGATGCTTTGAAACATCCTACAGTGCAAGAAAACTGACCTACCACAGAACAAAGAATTACCCAAATTATCCAGAATTCTCAGTATGCTAAATTTGAGAAACCCTGCTCTGAAATATAGACTTAGGAGTGGAATTTATAAAGCTTATGGTTTATGCAGCAGTATTAAGGCAACAAGCTAATGAAAACAGACAAAATTCAACTGGAAAAGCATGTTTTGGCACCTTCCTCTCAAAAGAAAAAACTCAATGACTTTCGTGATGAACAGATTGGACAGTTACAGGAGCTGATGCAAGAAGCTATTAAACCCAACAAGCAATTTAGTATTACAGAATATACAAAACCAAAATTTTAGTAAATATAATAAAGTTTAGCAAAGCATGTAAAAAAAAATGTTACTAATGTGCACAGAGATTTTTATTTGCTAGTCAGAGCTTTACAGCTAATTTAGCCTAAAATGACTAAAACTTTACTAGGTTCTCTTTCAGATTCAGGCAGTGTGTTCAAGCATTAAAATCTTTAAAATGTCACATTAAAATGCTTAATGGCAACTGTTAACCTAAACTGGATTCCAAATTTATGAAAAGTGTGCAGATCACTCAGAGCTATGTTGAGATTCTAGCTACCCAATCCAAATCCCTTGTCTTTATTTAAAAAGAAAAGCTTTTTCACAAACTCTTCCCTTTATAATGGCTATCTCTATATAGTTACCCTCTAGAAGACCTGGAAAATTCTGACTTCTTTTTATGCTGTTCTCCCTTTCCCTGAAGAAATTAATACAGAACACCCATTCAGCAAACATTTGCTGAGTGTCTCCTTATTCATGCTAAACACTGAGAGCATGATGAGCAAAACCAGCGTGCTCCCTGGAACATTTATGTGGAGAGGGGCAGAAAACTAGATAACATTCCAATAAATGTATAAACAGGTGATTACCAGCTCTACTGAATGTCTTGAGTGCACCACAGGTACTGAAAGAATGAAGTTGGGCCTTGTTTTACTGGCCTGTAATCCCAATACTTTGGGAGGCCAAGGCTGGAGGATCACAAGTTCAAGCCCGGCCTGGGCAATTTAGTGACTTAGCAAGACCCTGTCTCAAAACATTAAAAAGAAAAAAGGGCTGGGGAAGTAGCTCAGTGGTAGAGCCCTTGCCTTGTATGCAGGAAGCCCTGAGCTTAGTCTCCAGTTCTGTGTAAAACAACAAAAATGGCAACAAACAGAACAACAGTGACTTCTTGAGGTGGCAGTTGATACCTGAAGAAGACACTAGAGTGGGTGGGATGAGTTGAGGACAAGGACTGAGAATTGTCACTACCACCTTCCCACCCTACCCTGGGTTTTCAGCATGCTAGATAAATGCTCTATCCCTGAGTTACATCCCCAGCCCATTTGAAAAACTGCTTGAGATAGGATCTCACTGTGTTGTCCAGGCTGGTCTCATCTGTGATCCTCCTGTCTCAGCCTCCCAAGAAGATGGGATTACAGGTGTATACCACTGTGCCTAGCAGATGGGCTGGTTGGTTGGTTTGCTTTTTGAGACAGGTTCTTACTATAGAGATCAGGTTGGCCTCAAGTTGGTGGCAGTCCTCCTGCCTCAGCTTCCCAGAGTACTGGGATTACAGGTATATGACACCACACCTGGCAAATGCTGAGAATTTTTTTGTTGTTTTAAAGGGCAGATGCTAGGTTAGATCATGTCCTACAGGCTATGGTGAAGCTTTTGTCTTTACTAAGAAGTAGTAGAAAGTTAAAGGACTTGGGTAAGAAGATGACATCAGATTTCTGTTTGGAAGTGGTGTATTTACACAAATGGTTAACCTCTCTGGACTTGAGCATTGGACTGCAAAGTAAAGAAAAGATCCAAAGAAATCAAAGACTGGAGAAAAGAATGGTTAGAAAGGGTTAAAAGACTTAAATTTCGGGCCAGGGATTTAGCTCAGTGGTTTCACAGCGCAAGCGCAAGGACCCGAGTTCGATCCCCGGTACCAAAAAAAAAGACTTAAGTTTCACAAGGTTATGGTTATAGATCTGGTTTTCTGTTGTCACTAAGGTCAGCTCTTTTTGTGGTTAGGAGATAGTTTTAAAACCTTCATGAAAAACTAGGATAGGTGGTTCTGGATTGTCCCTATCCTTGAGTTAAGTATGATACTGACCTTCCTAAGAAGACAGCTCCAAGAGCAAAATCTGCTGGCAGAAAGTTTCAAAGAAAAGAGCATTTTCTTAAAAAAATTAAGACTTGGAAACAGGGCTGGGGATTTAGCTTAGTGCCCTGTGCCTGCCTCACAACCACAAGGTCCTGAGTTTGATCCCTGGTACTGGAAAAAAAAGACTTGGAAGCAATTAGTAGAGGTGGGTAGAGGCGGTGACTTTAGTAATCACAGTACTGTGGGAGGCGTGTATGCCCTGAACTCTGGGCTTTTGGCATGCTAGGCAAGGAAGCTGAGTTTGAGTGACTTCCCCCTCCCTATTATACTACACTACATTACTTCACTATTTACTCGCCCCATTAGGCATTTGTTTTAGGCCATTGGTTAAAGCTTCCTTCCACATTCCCACTTCAAAAACTTACTAGTTGGTAAGTTTCTTGCATACTCTTTCAGGAAACAAAACTTAATGCATGGAACTGGAACATAAAAGGGTGCACATAAAGCACTGATAATACTATTCTGACCTTGTTTTTTTATTAAATATATCTTGGAAACCTGTCCATATCAAAGTGTTTGTTACGTATGGTGATATAACATCAAATAAAAATAAGATACTTGTTTCATTGTTTTTAACAACTCCCAGACATCCCATTGTATAACGATGTATTCACCATTTATTTAGCTTGTTTCTGGGTTTGGTTTTGTTTTTGAACCAAATCAACTATGAACAGTTCTCCAAAGGACATTTGTGGATATCTTTTTTCCCCCTTTATGGTGTTGGGGATTGAACCCAGGGCTTTTTAAATGCTGTACTTCTGAGCTATATCCCTGGCACCTTGTGCATGGATCTTGTACTTTCACAGTTCTTTCTATAGGGAACCACTGGGTCAGAAATACACATATTTTAAGTTTTGAAACAGGAGTAATAACACTACGCAAGTCAGAAAATAAAGCTCATATTGTAAAGTAACAAAAATATCAGGAAGACAAATGAATTGAGAGTTCATGGTTGGGCCAGGGATTTAGCTCAGCGGCATAGCGCCTGCCTGGCAAGCTTGAGTTCCTGAGTTCGATCCCCGGTACCAAAAAAAAGTTCATGGTTGGTCGATGCCTCTTGAGAAGAGCTGAGGTTCGCATGCAAAGATGTAGAATGCCATAACTGTTTGGAAGCAAACTATCCAAGAAAAATTGCTCGACAAGCGTGAAGATCCTACCAAGGGACCAAACTTGGCTTGTTAAGGAAACAGTTAAGAAAGCCAGTGTGGTGGAGGGTATAGGGAGGACAACAGTACCGGTTCGTCCGTGTGGTAGGCGCCAACTATTTCCTTCGAGGCGATGAGGAGCAAGGAGTTCGGATTCTGTTTCTACTTACACTGGGAGGACTTGAAAACTCTTTTAAGTGAGAGTGGACAGGATCCACAATGAAAAGACTGAATTAAGCCACTTAACCGCTGGTGACTGCGCAAATTCCTAATCTCCACTTTAAACGCCCGCAAAGGCGCCACAGCCTGCGAAGGCTTCGTGCCACCAGCCGCAAGGTTACCTGTCTTCCAGTACGGACTCCATGGGCTCCACTCCGTCGGTGTCCACTGCACGCAGGCGGTCGGCGAAGGCGATGGCTTTTTCCAGCCGTGCCACAGCTTCGCGGCTGCCAAAGTCCACAAGCGCTAGACGCTCCAAGTGCTCGATCACAGCGGCAGTGATACGACCGCTTTCCTGGGGAACAAAGCGGGGAGCTTGGGTCAAGGGCAGGGCCCGCTCCGACCCCCACCTAGATACTGCTGGCCTTTACCTGAGGATTCGCCTTGGTGGCGAAGGCTTGGCACCCACCAAGCACACCCCGAGAGGTCAGCCACACTGCCCGCGCCCACATTTCTCCCCTTCTCGGCCCCCGTACTGCGCGGCAACGCAACGCCCAGCGACGCGTCTAAGTGTGATGACATCAGAGCGCGCCTCTGTGGCTACAGCTTTCGCCATGAACAGCGTCGGAGAGGCTTGCACTGATATGAAGCGCGAGTACGACCAGTGCTTCAATCGCTGGTTTGCCGAGAAGTTTCTCAAGGGGGACGGTTCCGGGGATCCGTGCACCGATCTCTTCAAGCGCTACCAGCAGTGTGTTCAGGTGAGCCGCCACCCGAGTTCTCCATTCTTTGTCCTCAGGCCCTGTGTTCTCTGGTGTTCCCTACCACACGCATCAAATCTGATGGGGGTTGTGACGCGGAGGGTGGAGAAACCCCGTAACGTGGCCTGTGGCATCAGCCCAGTCCCCTACTGTCAACATCGTGGCCGCCTAGCTATGTCTCTGATCGACCAAGTTTGTTTGGTGACACCAGGTCTTCGTATATAGTTCATCTGGGCTTGAACTCACTGTGTAGTCCAGCCTGGCTTTGAACTCGCGACCTTCCTAAATTATTTTTTGGTACCTGGGATCGAACTCGGGACCTTGCGCTTGCGAGGCAGGCGGCAGAACCACAGAACTAAATCCCCGGCCCGGGATCTTCCTGCCTCAGCCTCCCAAGTAGCTGGGATTAGAGGATTGTGCAATACCCGGCTTCAGTGATTTACTCTTTAAGAAGCACAGTAATATCTTTTGGTTCCTTCTTTGGTGATCGTCCTAAAGTTTCAAAGTAGCCAGAGTTACACCCAGAAATAGGAAATGGTTCATGTGAGTTCATTAGACCTAGGTTTCCTTGATTGTCAGCGGTGCACTTTTCCCTGTTGTACTGTTGGGTGGGTGAGGTGTTTACCTTTCTCTAGCCTGTTAAGTCACTGGAGGATCCCCCTTTTTGTTATAATCTCATTGGCTTGTTATCTCTTTTGACCAGTTGTTAACTGCAGCAAGTAGTGTCATTCAGACTCGGGGTGTGGGACTGCTTTAAATTACAAGAACAGCCCTGGGAAAGCACTTCCATTCAGTTGACCTAAACCATCCTCACTTAATTTCATGAAGTAGTTGCTATCTTTACCTCACTTACACATGAGGACAGTGAGGCTGCCTCAAGGGTACATAGCCAGTAAGCCTTGGAATCCAAATTTCAACCCACATCTGTCACTAAAAGTAATCCATTTTCCAAATGTCACTTTTTTTTTTTCTGTACCAGGGATCTAACCCAGGACCTCGTGCTTGCAGAGCAGCCACAGCACCAAATGTCACTTTTATATTTTGCACAATACTAGGAATTGAACCCTGGGCCTTTGCACTGAGCTACATCCCCAACTTCCCACACCCCTCTTATTTTGGGGGGACAGTTCTTGCTATGTAGGTTAGGCTGGCCTTGAACTCACAGTATAGCCTAGGCTGTCCTTGAACTCAAGGTGATCCTCCTGCCTTAGTCTCCCCAGTGCTGGAATTACAGGGTTGTGCTACTGTGCCCTGCCCACCAACCCCCTTCTGCTTTTTGAGAAAGTCTTGCTATGTAGTTCAGGTTGGCCTTGAACTTGCAGTGATCCTTCTACCTCTGCTTTGACACCCACCACCCTTTTTTTATTTTATTTTTTTCGCGGTAACGGGGATTGAACTCAGGACCTTGGGCTTGCCAGGCAGGTGCAGGTGCCACTGAACTAAATCCCTGGCTCTCACCCTTAAAAAAAAATTTTTTTTAAGACAAGGTGTCACTAAGTAGCTAAATTGCCCAGGTTAGGCTTGAACTTGCTATGCTCCTGCCTCAGCCTCCCAGAGAGGTGGGATTATGGGCGTGTGCCATCACACCTAGCCAGATGTCACATCTGAGTTTTAATGGTTCCTTAAAACTCCTCTTTTAATCTTTTATCTGGCCTTAACACTTCCTGTTTTTGTAATAGTACTTCTGTTTATTAAAAAATCCATCACTTTATGCCATAGTTCAATCACATTTTATTTGCAAAGCTAGTACTTCAAACTTTAGTTTGTTTTTTTTTTTTTGGTACTGGGGATTGAACTCCAGTCCTTGTGCTTGCGCTGCAGGAGACGAAACCACTGAGCTAAATCCCTGGCCCCAAACTTTATAAATATTTATATATGTTGTTTTCTCCCATCAGAAAGCAATAAAGGAGAAAGAGATTCCTATTGAAGGACTGGAGTTCATGGGCCATGGCAAAGAAAAGCCTGAAAACTCTTCTTGACCTTGAAAATGGATTCATCAGGAAATTAAGGACTCTGGATTTTATCAACTAAAGCCCTGAATATAGCCATGGGATTGATGAGTTTAAGAGGAAGGATTTTTATTTCTTCCTCCTCGATGTTTTCCTCTCACTTGTAAATGATGAACAATCACTCTGCTTTGAGATGATTTCTCACTTGTTCTGGCATCTTGGAGGAACTCAATGTGCTAAAATTGAACCATTTCTTGAGATTATTATTGCAATACGTGGTCTGGAATTAGCTTTAAATATATCTTGTGTGTAAATAATGATAAATTAATCAAGATGATCAGGGTTGCCTGATGTCTTGACTTTGCTGCAAAAGTACTGGGGTCATTGTTCATGAAAGCATTTGGTTAGGACCTCTTTTTCTCTCTCAGGGAGTAAATACTCTATAAAAAGGGATCCAGGCACAACAGCTGCAATCAATACTTGGGAGCACAGTTTTATTTTTATATAATGACTAACAGTTAAGTTTGCAGGTGACCTGGCCTAGCAAAGACGAAGACAGCTGTTAACACTTCCCGCCTCCAGGTATCTAAGACATGAAAGCTTCAAGAATATTGACCTAGGGCTGGGGATTTTGCTCAGTGGTGCTGCCTCCTGCCTCGAAAGCGAAAGGTCCTGAGTTCAATCTCTGGTACCAAAAAAGAATGTTGACGTAAACACCATTTCAGAGCTCACAGTGTATAGTTAAGGAATCATGGTATTTGCAGTGCCTATGGAAGAACCACCTATTACAGAGATTTGGTGTTGCCAGCTTTCAACCCAAGTTAATGAATTAAGTGAACCTGCCTATCATAAAACGAAAATGCTGCATCTGGTTAAGTGGAGGGGAAAGGTGCTTGCTTTATTTGCCTTGTTTGCCCATCTTATAATGTCTGTAATCATGAAGATGGAATAAACTCTAACATTTAGTTTTCAATCATTATTTGTCCTTGGAACTCAGTGCACTGTATGGAATACTTGCTACCCTGTTATCCTACATGTTTCATAAATACATTGAAGAGTTTTGTGTTTTATAATTTAAAGGTGAAGATTTATTTACACTAGGTAGTATAACACTTAGAAACCTAATTTCTAAATTTATTTCCATAGTAGTCTATATAAATATCTAAAATAAATTTTGTATTTTGGTACCACAATAAGTCAGGATCAAGTCTGGCATGGTGGCGCACACCTGTACTCCTAACACTATGGGAGGCTGAGGTGCCAGGATTCCAAGTTTAAGCCTAGCCTGGGGAACTTGGTGAGACATCTCAAAAAATGCTTTTTACAGTGCCCAGGATTTAGCTCAGTGGCGCCATGCCTGCCTTGAAGTGCAAGGTCTTGAGTGTGATCTCTGGTACCAAAAAAAATTTTTTTTACATAGGGCTGGGAATGGCTCAGTGTGAAGGCTCTGGGTTCAATCCCAAGCACAAAAACGTGGGGGTTATGAGCTGAGCACTTACGTGTTTAAAGTGCCATGTAATCTTCACCCCTTTTTTTTCTTGGTACCAGGAATCAAACTCGGGTCCTTGCGCTTGCGCAGCAGGCGGAGAAACCACTGAGCTAAATCCCTGACCCACCCCTGGCTATCTTGAGGAATTAAGTTTTATTATATGTCCAAAGACACTATAAACTTTTTTTACACAACCCCTAAATTGTTATCTTTTTTTTTTTTTTTTTTTTGGTACCAGGGATTGAACTCAGGTCCTTGCAAGCGGCAAAACCACTGAGGTAAATCCCCAGCCCCTCAATTGTTATCTTCTGACAATTACTATTTCAGCCAGGTGTGGTGGTTACATACCTGTACTCCCAGCAATTGGGAGGTTGAGGCCAGCCTGAATTACATAGTGAGACCCTGTCTCAATCCACGCCCCTAAAGGAACAATTACTAGTTCATATTTAATGTAACAAGCCCTTAATGTCATCTTAAAATACTCTACATTTATATTTTCTGACTCTTCAAAGTTGTGTTTGTTTTTTTTTGAGATAAGGTCTCAGTGTAGCTCAGGCTGGCCTCAAACTCAAAGCGATCCTCTTGCCTCAGCCTGCCAAATGCTGGGATTATAGGCATGTGCCACCACACCGGGCTCCAAGATCTCTTAACTAAAAGATAATAAAAAGATTTGGGGGCCCCAGCCAAGGCTAGGCAGCTGAAGTTAAACAGATCTACCCTAAACTCTGGCCATAAGCAAGATAGATCTATGAGGGCCAGGGATTTAGCTCAGTGGTTCCACCACCTGCCTCGAAAGCACAAGGTCCTGAGTTCGATCCCTGGTACCAAAAAAAAAAAAAAAAAAAAAAGACCTATGAGGACTGAGTGCAGGGCGATATGTTTCAAAATGGCCAATATAATAGATACTTTTTTTTTTTGGTATCTGAAATCAAACTCAGGGCCTTGCAATTGCCAGGCAGGCAATGTTTCGCTGAGCTACATCCCTGGCCCAATAGATAATCTTTTTCAGTGGTGCTCGAGGTTGAACCCAAGGCCTTCAGCATACTAGGTTAAATGCTCTACCACTGAACTACATCCCCAGCTTGTTATTTTGGTGGTTGTTGAGGACTGAATCCAGGGCATTTACACTGAGCTACTGGACATCCTCAGCCCTTCTATTGTTATTTTTTGGTACCACGGATTGAACTCAGGACCTTGCGCTTGCGAGGCAGGTGCAGTGCCACTGAGCTCCATCCCTGGCCCCAGCCCTTCTATTTTTTGAAACAGGGTTTCAAGTTGCCCAGGTGGTACTCAAATGTGTAACCCTGCTTCAGCCTCATGAAGTGCTGGAATAACAGGCTGTATCACTACACCTGGCTTCTAGCTCTGAGACAGGGTTTGCTAAATCACACAGGCTAACCTCTAATTTTGAGATCCTCTGCCTTAGCCCCCCGAGTGGCTTGAATTATAAGTGTGCACCAACACACCTGGCTGAGAAAAATGTGCTAACTTACTAACTGCCAGAACAGGTCTAAGAACCCTTGAAACATGGCATGGTGACACACGCCTGAAGTAATACTCAGGAGGATGAAACAGGTAGAGCACTTGAGCCCGGGATTTCAGACTCTGTCTTTAAAGGAAAAAAATCCAGGGCCAGGGATTTAGCTCAGTGGTTCTGCTGCCTGCCTCGCAAGTGCAAGGATCAGAGTTCGATTCCTGGTACCAAAAAAAAAGAGAAAAGAAAAATCCTGAACTATACATCCTTCCAAAGCCAACCGTATTTACGTTACTGTTAAGGCTAAAAAGACCACATACTAAGAGCTTCCTATGGCCACATCCTGCCAAAAGGAATACCACAAACTGCTACCAAGAGAATAATTCTGATTGTTACTCATCCTATTTTATTTTTCCCAATCCCCCTGCCCTCCCTTCAAACCCTCCACCCTCCCTATCTACAAAGACTTTGTTTCCACTTTTTCCTCTTCTATTTATTCCTTTCCCTTCTTTCCTCTTCCCTACCCCTCCATTTCCCCTTCCCCTTTAGACCTTTTCTTCCTATTTCACATTAACTATTACACAATTTGGTCCTTATTTACACTTTCAGTTTCTCACACCAGAGAAACTATTCAGTATTTACACATTTGTCCTATTTATTTCACTTATGAGTATCGCCTCAATGTGCATGCATTTAGCTATAAATGTCTCTAGTTTCTCATTCTTTATGGTTGAGTAGTACTCCATTTTATTAAAAAGCCACATTTTCTTTATCCAGTCTCCAGTTGATGGGCAATTGGGCTGTTTCCAAATTTTAGCTATTACAAACTGTGCCTCTATGTCCTTATTCTGACTTCATACTTGAAAGGTTCAAGTTTTGATGAGGAAGCAGTTGCCATTTCAGGGTGATTTTTGTAACTCTTACTACTTTCCCTCCCTTCTAATTCTTATGACTATGGGAGTTTTAATTCTAGAAACAAATAAAGCCAATACTGTATGTAAAAATGTGTCCCACTGCCTTTGTTTCTCTAAAGGTTTCTGACCCTACCAACCTCCAGAGTGCCGAGATAAGAGTCTGATAACAAAGGAAGAACCTAAAAAAAAATAAGGAAGAACCTGACTCTTGGAGAAAATTCTCCAACCACAAGGATTCTGCACCAAATGATGGTACAAGGGACAGGAGAAAACAGACACAGCGAGCACTTCCTATTGAGAATCACAGGTACTTCTTTTTAGGTGTAAGCCACAGCCATTCTACCAGACATTCAATGTCTTTGCTAGCCAACTTCTGTCAAAGATCCACCCCCCTCTTTTTTTTTTTTCAAAGGCAGGGTCTCTGTAGTTCACGTTGGCCCTGAACTCACTACGTAGCCCAGCCTGGCCTCAAACTTGCGGCAATCTTCCTGCCTCAGCCTCCCAAGGGCTGGGATTACAGGCATGCACAACCATCCCTGGCTCTCAAAGATCCAATCTTAATACTTAATTAGGTGACAGCTTTGTACTCTTGTCCCACGCTTCTACTCACTCTAGGAACAAAAACTAAGGGGCTTGTTATAAACATTCAGTGGGCTGAACTGGACCTGAAACAATAAGCAGTAGACACAGACCTTTACTGCAGAAACAAAACATTAATGTTAATTTTGGGGAAGGAAAAAAAAACCAAAGAATGAAACTTTCAGCTTATGACCAATCAGAGTTTAAGTTATTTATTTAAGCCATCTCTTGCCACAAGCAAAGGGATGGAAGATTGGTATGATGCTCATCATCTGATACAAGTAAGGAAGGTGAGCTTAAGGTCCCATACATTTTTCTGGTCTGAATGAGTAATGGTCCAAATCAGAGCTTCGGTCCCCAATGCCTAGATAATGGTCCACGTTCTCTTTATTCATCTTCATAGCCAGTCGGAAGCGGATTCACATGAGGGTTATGGAACAGAGTATGGTTACCATCTCCCCATGGAAAGGGCTGTGGAGTGAAAATATCCAATTAGATAATCCCAGAAAATAGTTCAAAAACAACACTGCCATGAACTGCTTAAAACAGAGTGACAGATAATACACAAAATGGAAATTAGTCCTTTACTAGAGTATTTCAATCTTTCCATAATTTAGGGGAGCTCTTATTGCTACCTAAAGTAGACAGGAGAAAAAGAAAGGTCAAGTTAGTTGTCATTCAAGCCTCTTCCTGACTGCTTCTCAACCTTTTGGGTAAGATCATGTGTAGTATTTGGTATTTGTTCTTATCAGTTTTATTACCTGATATGTCCTTCATCTGTGCAATATATGTATAGGGAGGCAGACCTGGGGATTGAACCCAAGGTGTTTGCCCTGAGATACATCCCAGCCCTTTTTAAAATTTATTTTCAAGGGGCCAGGGATTTAGCTCAGTAGTTCCGCCCCCTGCCTCACAGGTGGAAGGTCCCCAGTTCGATCCCTGGTACCCTCCCCCGCCCCCAAAAAAAGAAAATTTCTTTTCAGACAGGGTCTCACCAAGTCACTAAATTGGGCCGGGGATTTAGCTCAGTGGTTCCACCGCCTGCCCGGCAAATGCAAGCACCCGAGTTCAATCCCCGGTACCAAACAAAAAACTAAGTCACTGAATTTCCCAGGCTGGGCTCAAACTTTCAACCCTCCTGCCTCAGCCTCTCAAAGTGCTGAGATTACAAGCCTGCACCAGGACATCAAGGTAAATAAACAGATTTCTAGGTTCCACCCAAGACTTGAAACAATCTCTAGACAGGGAAACTGCAACCCACCCTCAACTATTTTGCTTACTACCTTTGAAAAATATTGTTCTTAGGGCATTGGTTTCTAACCCAGGAGGATATTCGCTTTCCAGGGACCCAAGAGACACTGTGAGGTAATGCTGCCATCTAGTGGATAGAGGCCTCGGAGAGTGCATGCAAAATATCTTCCCACGCACAGGACAGCAGTGCTCCCCACCCCCAAAATGCCATAGCGATGAAGTTGACACCAAGCTGTTTTGTTTATTTTGGTATACAAGGGTGGCAGTGG